ACTTTGACTTTCAAAGTCATAATTATAAGATAAAAAGTTTGAAAGTTGAATATCTCATAATGATGACTTTGTGGTGGAAATGGGCTTCCAAAATTTCGTCTAGAAGCAATTGGTAAAATATTACTGTGAATAGGATGTAATCAGCACATTAGGAAACCCTGGAATTTCACCAAAGGCTATAAAACTCTTGAGCAAACATGATGGCATAAGTCTATTACCTGATTTTCTTACTGTCCCGGTTCTTAAAAATTTCATGTAAATTAGAAAATTCAATAAAAGCTTTCATTTTAACTTTTATGTGTTTGTGGTAGATTTTAGACCTCAGTGACAAAGCCTAGAAAGGGATTATCCTTCCTTCCTAAAATTAGATGTTAAGGGAAGCCAATATAAAGTATAAATGGAGCCCTGAGCAACATCACTTACTTGTGGCGTTCATCAGGGCTTCATTCTGGGGCCCCTGTTATTTATTTTTTATTTTTTTAAATGACTAACTTTCATTAGCCAATTTCTAACTCATATGTGTTCTTTTATCATAACCAAAGCATGAAATTAGAAACTAAAAATGGTGAACCGATAAATTTGGGAAACATCTTTAGTGTCATACGTCATACGAATATGTCTTTTTTTTTTTTTTCTGAAGTACTTATCCTGTCCTGGAAAATATGGTGATAATATTCCAGATTTTTCCAGGCTGCGAAAGATCAGAGTGATGAGGTGAGCTTTTACCTGAGAGTGAACTGTTGGACTTCTGTTTGTGAAGCTTCTCCTTCTCTTTCTTTGTTTTGGGTATAATCTTCAGCTTCATACTGCTGCTGCTTTTACTGCTGCTCCTCACAGAGTCCTAAGTTAAGCAGCGGGATAAGTCAATACACCCCAAGAGATTTTTAACACTTCTGCTTGTTTGGAACGATAAGACATACCTCCTCGGAGCATTGCATGAGTGGACAGATCCAGTGGATGTCATCCAGCTTAAGGAGCTCGGAACTAAGGTTATTCAGAGTCAAACGGAGTTCTTCCTCCTCAGGAAAATCAGTCTGAAAGAGAACATGTCCTTCATCATTAATCAGATCTAAAAAAAAAAACGTCTGTTTATATTCACTGCCATCTGTCTACACTGTTAGACTTGATAAGACATATTAAAACAACAAATATTTTATATATAATTAATTTAAGGGCCTAACTTCAATAAATTGAGAAGAGATTTAAAAGAATATGTCAAATAAACACACTCACCACATTTTACACAAAAGAAAATAAAACTAAAACACAAAACTACAGAAGAATCAGACAGCCGACAGTCTAAACCTTATAGGTTAAGAATAAAAGCTAAAGAATAGCAATAGAAAAATAACTCTAAAAACATGGAGTAAAGTCTAAGATGTAGAGCTACTTTAAACTAAAATAGTGAGAAAATTAAGTTATGGTGAGATGTTAGCATGCATACACTGCGATTATATAATAAATCTGGGAAACATTATAGGTTTAGTTAATATTGCTTTAAAAATTACCAAAAGTTAGTTAACACATTTTGCAGTATAAATCTATAAAGTTTGGTTTGTATACAGAGATTGAATTTAGCCCACTTTTCCAACCTTGGTAACTCTTCTACCAGCTCTTTGGTGGGACAACTAAAAATAATGCAGGGTAAAGTTATAGCTGTTAGTATTCTTATTTCTAGTGTTGCACCAGTGCCATTTTTGGCTCCATACCTGGCTGTGCAGTATTAGCCGATACCGATACCATCTGTTTGAAATTGATGTGTGTTTGTATATATGAAGAACTGCATACTACTTGAATGTAAAATAATTGCCATCATGTCTTTGTCAAGCTGCTGCCTACCTTTGTGAAGCAGGAAAAAGACTAATACAAAGTGAATCCAGTAGAACTTGTTATTTCCTACATGGAATGGGTGACAATAGTTGGATAAACTTTTGGCTCTCAAAATGGTATCAGTGCCCTATTTGTTGGTACTCACCTATATCGATACCACCATTTTAGTGTAGAATCGGGGCCCTGCCCAATACTGGTATCTGTATCGGTGCAACACTACTTATTTCTAAAAGGCCGCAGAAAATCAATTTAATTCAGCCGAATGAAGTATGGAAAAAAGGAGTAAGGAAAACTGCGCCGCAACTCCGATCCAGGGGATGGCAGTAATGATGCGGTTATAGCTTAAAAGCACAGTAATTTAATTATTCTAATTTTGCTAGCAGAAAATAACGTTTAGAGTCTGAGTCTTCTGAAAGTAAAACCTTTTTGTTTATTCTAAAAGTTCAAATTAGGACTGTCCAGATCCAGTATTCTATATCAGATATCGATCTGGTATTGGCCAAAAATCTAAAATGGGCCTGTTTCTTAAATCTACAATATTGACTGTTGATAAAAACATTCTGCTTCTGTTTAAAGTTTCTGTAACCCATTGCTAATATGTGTCATGTGTTATCATACCTATTGCTGTTGACTATTTCTCTGGTATAGTAATATCACTTGATCAAGAGATACAGTACAAAACAAGTAATTACATCCTGCATAATCTGTGCTAATATCGTATTGGGTCAATATCGGTATCGGTTAACTCTCAAAGCTGCAATATCTGTATCGTATCGGAAACAAAACAGTTTTATCGAGACGCCCCTGGTTCAAATAGTGCAACAAGTGATAATATCTGACTGTGCTGCTTGATATAGATCCTTAAGCCTGAAAGGAAATGAAGTAACACATTTAAAATGCATATTTAAACTAATTAAATAAAAATAAAACGAGTGAAAGGAAAGCATTCCTTGGAAAAAAAAACCCTCCAGAAACATTTTCAGGTTTTACACCTTGTAAGAAAAGCTACTTTAATCATTTGTTTTCTGCACAAAGGACAGTTGTCTGATGGTATACATGTCCACACTGAATTAAAGCTACAGACTGAAGAAAGAAACGAAACGACAGACATTGAAATCTGAGAGGCCAAAAGGCTCAATAGCTTTCAGCAAAGGGAGAAAAGGCAGTGAAAGAGCAAACATGGATGAAGCTTCAGACTCATACCAATAGTTTCCCATCGAGCAGCATACTGGTCTCTGCCTGGAGGACTTTACTGCTGTTGACGATTTCCACCGCCGTGCTGCGACTCAGGCACTGAAACCAAAAATAACATGTGAAAAAAAAGGAAAACAGATCATTGTTTCCAAATGTTCATATATTTGCTCGACCAGACAGATGGACTTTAGGTTAAAAGGCCTGAACATGAACAGCCTGCAGGTTGAACTGAGACCCAAACATATGGCTGAAAATCTGTCCCTTTTTTTCTCTTTCATCCATCATAGCGGCCATCAGCCTCTCTGTTTGTCCTGCTAAGATCGACGTCTCACCTCGTTGCTGGACACTTTGGCCTCGGTGAGCACCAGGGCTGTGGCGTTCACGGCGTGAGCCAACTCCTGCTCCACCAGCTTATGGGTCTTCGCTGCCTCGCGGATTCTAAAAAGAGGGAAAAAAGCAATACTTGTAAATAAGTTACAAGGTCATAATTATGGAGGTAGTGAATGAAGTCCTCTAATTTGCACTCATTTAATCCTCATAAATCAACATGAAGCAGAAACTGTTTCTAAATCAAGGTAGAAAAAAGTGTAATTTGCTGATAATGAATGTTTGGCTTCTTAAGGAACGAAAAAAGGAAAAAACTGAACTGAATGAAGACGATGACTAATGTCTTAAAGGAGGAAAATAAGGAGCAAAATTCAGCCTGAAAGGATTTTGTATTCAATTTTTTTTAGTTTAAGCATCATGAATGTTTGCTTGCCTATTTTATTTCAGCTGTTTTATAAACAGTGTGTTAAAGTGTTGCTTTATTGCACAGTAACCTTTAAAATCTTTAAGAACTGCCAAAGTTTCCAGTAGTTAGAAATCCAGCAGATTTCCCCCCAAGGTCAGAGAGTTTAAAGTCGTAAGGAAATCATATTTAAATATCAAATAATTCTGGCTTAAACATTTATATAAATGTACTCTTTATCAGAAGATATTGTCGCAAAAGTTAGAAAATTTCTATTTAAAAAAAAAAAGTCCTGTCTTAAAATCTGTGGGATTTTTTCTCGTTATCTTATGCAGGCCAGTTAGTTATACGTCAGCCTGAACACCTAAATTCGGCCAATCATATATCAACAGTCATCTGTCAATCAAATATTTTCGGTCATAGCATCTTGATTCATATGTATTGCAGCTAATATACACAATGGACAATACAGTCTGATAAAGACTACATTTATATAAATGTTTAAGCCAGAATTATATAGATATTTAAAAATGATTTCCCTACGACTTTAAAGAGGTGTTATGGAGTTTTCTAATAATACTGCCACATGTGGCCAAAACACGGAACTGCAGCACTCTTATGCTCCTCGTAGCTTGCTCTTGTATGTAAAAAGTGTTGTTGTTTTTTTTGGAGTTGCTATTGGTGCCAGAGTTGAGCTGGATGCTGGTCGCTTCTGAGTATCCACAAAACACATCTTGAATATAACGCTTCGGTTGTTTGATAGTTTGGACACCTGAACAACACGGGAACGTCTGACTCAAAGTAAATTCAGGAAAGAGGTGTCAGTCCGCTCATCAGACACTGTTTTAGCTGGATCAAAAAAAAAGGTTATCTTAAAGACAATTTTCAGTAGAAAAACATAAAATAATGTCTGTGTTTCTCTGGCTTGGGTCCAACAATTTAGGCGGATATGAATGAACCACTAAATTTCTGCAACAGTGTTTTTTTTGGTCTACTGTTACCCAAGTCTAAGTGCTTGTCCCTTTCTCAAAAACAATTATTTAAATAAAACCAAACACAACACACCGTGTTTCCATTGCAAATGTGTAAGTTCTGCAACTGCAGTATTTCCATGAAATAACAAAAACGCAACTAAAATTGAGATTTATCCATATTTCAGCCATCAGTGCATCTTTTTACGAGGCAGTACAGTCCAGCTGCAGATCGCTTGACTTGTGTGATGCGAAACAAGTGTTTCCAATGCAGTTTTGCAAAAATATAAGAATTTCACCTCATCGAAGCGTAAAATCTTTTAATGGAAATTGCAGCTAATTTATCCTCATAATTACAACTTGATGGTTCATTGGACAAAGAAGACAAGAAGACAGGTGGTTTTGAAAGAGGTGTGGAGGAAACCATTTACGTCAAGAGAGAAAAACCTATAATGCAGCGTTATCGTTGATTCCTTCCCACTAGAATCTAAATCCTCACCGCCTTGCAGGGAATCAAAACACCTCGACTGTTTTGCCAGGCCAAGAACAACCCTAACGACTCCCCTTTGCAGAGGCATGGGCCAGTACCGGGATTTCCAGGCCAACATCGTCCTCAATGATTCCCCATTACCTGTGTTTGGTTTAATTTGCATGTTTTCTAAGCCACAACAAGGTTTTTGTTTGGGCCATTTTAATAAGCCTGGAACTTAACGCTACTGCAGACATTTTCAAAAAGCTTTCTGGATGGGAAGCAAAAGGTCTTCAGACTTGGAAAACAAAGTCAAGTGGTTTGTTTTTAATTTTTTGGAATGGTTTATTGAAGTGTGCTTACTGTGAGGCATGGTTGGGAAGGAATGGTGATGTGGGATTGATTTTAGACACATAAAAGATGCTAGAAATTAATGACTATCCAGTGTTTTTTTTATGTGACTTAATCTCAAAGCAAAACTAAGCATTAGTAAAGATCCAAAGCTTCTCTTACTTAAAGGAATAGTACACCCAAAACATGATTAGCCTTCATTTTCTACTCACCCCCATGCTGAACAACACTCTGGAGTACTTTTTTGATATCT